AAGGATAAATACATTTTTTGAATTTTATATGTTTGATTTAAGGTAAATAAATATATTAAATTAATTAATAATTTATTTAAAATATTAAAATTTAATTTATAAGTATGTAATAAATAAATATTTATAATTTTATAAATTATATTATATTATAAATTATAAAATTAAATAATTTAAATTATAATTTTAAATAGAAATAAGTAGATGTTAATTATAAAAGTAATTACATATAAATAAAGAATAAATAAATATATTATTATTATTATTATTATTATTCGTAATATAAAATTATTATATATTATTATTATAGTACAAGTATGAGATTGTATATTTGAGGATGACTTAAATGAATTAATTTGTACAAGTTATACTGATAACATACATATACATTTCGGTAACTTAGACATCAGAATTTCACAGTTAAGCGTGTTTGACCTAGAGTAGTATAGGGATGGGTGATCTTCTGAGAAATTTTCCAGAAATTGCGCAAGTAAGGATAAAACACGCTAAAAAGTGAAATGTCGTGAAAGAGAACCCTTGAGAGGCCAAATATGAGGATTGTTACATTAATAAATTTATTAAAAGTAAAAAAAATTATAATTTTTGATGAAATTTTCCGACGGAAATATCCGTAAAAAATTTCCAACGGAAAATTCAATCAGAAATTTCTAACGGATTAAATTATTTTCGACAATTTTTTTTTTCTGAGGCCACTTTTTTCGACGGATTTAAATCTGTCGGAAAAAAAAAATCGTCGAAAATTTACTCATTTCCGTCGAAAATTAGCATTTTTCTTGTAGTGTCTTGGTGTTGCCCCAACCCGAGATGAATCTCTCTCCTCATGCGTGACACCATCGATCCTACACCCAATGTAAATCGAGACAAAGGCCTTTGGTTGAAACAATGTTTGGTGCTATGAAGGTGTGTCTGGCACAACTATGATTTTTGCATTTATGCATATCGCGAATTCATCTCCTAACCACCTAAAAATTGGACAATCTAAGCATGCAACATGTAATATCATACATAGGCACTCTAAAAAACCTAAATCCAACCAGAAGTACAACATGCGATTTCATATTCTCCAAATTCACCAAGTTCTCTCCTTGTAAACCTAAACACTAAGTTTCAACATCTTCATTCAAGATCATGCAATTCTACCATACAAATGCAACCAACCAACATCTAAATCATACTTCTAGCTCAAACATACAACAAGAATCTAATTCTAACTTCCCTTACTTCAACTTTAAGCCAATCTGAGAAGGAAAAGATGAAGAAGAAAGAAGAATGAGCTTTGGGAAGCTCCACACCAACCCATAGCCTAGATCCTCAGCTATAAGCTTGGAATCAATATGTTAGCATCGATTCTACGAATTCGAGAAATCTAGAAGAAGAATTGGTTAGAATCTTAGAGCTTCTCTCTCTAGGGTTTGAAGAACATGAACTTATGAGTTTCAGTTCTCAACAAAAATTTTATATACCTTCTTTCACAAGGTTAATTAGGCTTATGGCCAGAAAAACCCTCTAAACACCTTAGTAACTCCCTAGGAGTTCCTTAACTCTCCAGGAGTTCTTTAACTCCCCAGAGTCACAACCATTCCATAGGTACCATGTATATAATTATTTATAAAAACACAATAATTTAGGAAAACTTACAATGTTACATAAATTATATATATTTTTAAAAAATAGTACAATAATATAAATAAATTAGCAAATTGAAAAGTAAGAATTAAATGTAATAAAAAATAAATATCGATAAAAATAAAATTAAAATTAAATGTAATAAAAATTCATGTTTATAATATATTAAAAATGAAAAAAAAATCTATAAAAGAAAAGTATATATAACTATTATTTATATAATAAACAAAATACTCAATTAAATTATGCAAATAAAAATAATTTAATTATCTTAATTTAAA